TGTGTGTGTGTGTGTGTGTGTGTGTGTGTTCAGATGGTGGAGATGGTGTGTCTGCATGTCATCAGCCTGATGGAGGCGCTGCAGGAGTGTAACTCCACCATCTTTGTTAAGGTAGGAGACCCTCTGCATCAGTGTCTGTCTAAATGCTGATGTGTGTGTGTATAATAGACATTCAGTGTGTGTGTGTGTGTGTGTGTGTGTGTGCGTATAATAGACATTCAGTGTGTGTGTGTGTGCGAGTGTGTGTGTGTGTGTGTGTGTGTGAGTGTGTGTGTGTGTGAGTGTGTTTGGTGTTGTAACGTCTTCTTCTCCTGTGTTCAGCTGATCCCCATGTGGCTGCCGATGATCCAGTCTAACCTGAATGTAAGTGTTGATCACAGCGCTGCTCCTGCTCTGCTCCACAGTCACATGTTGAAGCATCACTCCACTCCTCATGCTCATTTACAGCTCCTCTAGAGGCACACAGATCAGTCTGACCATGTCTGAGTCCATTCAGCTGATCTCTGGGTCTGGTGGAGCGCTTTTAGCTTAGCTTAGCATAAATCATTGAATCGGATTAGACCATTAGCACCCAAAAATGAACATTCTGTCATTATTTACTGGCCTTTAACTTGTTTCAAACCTTTATGAGTCTCTTTTTTATATGTTAAGCACAAAAGAAGATATTTTGAAGAATGCGGAAAACCTGTAACCATTGACTTCTGTGATATTTGTTTTTCCTGCTGTGGAGGTCAATGGTTACCGGTTTTCAGCTTTCTCAGAATATCACCTTCTGGGTTCAACAGGAGAAAGAATCAAAGATTGTGTGTGTGTGTGTGTGTGTGTGTGTATACAGCACCTGTCCGCAGGTCTCCAGCTGCGTCTGCAGGCGATCCAGAACCGTGTGAACCACCAGTGTCTCCAGAACCCCGGCTCCAGCTCCTTCCCGCTCACGCTCCGCAAGTGGCTTCAGTGCACGCAGTTCAAGATGGCGCAGGTGGAGATCCAGTCCTCCGAGGCAGCGTCGCAGTTTTACCCCATGTGATCACACACACACACACACACACACCACACACACACACATACACACACGCGCACACACACACACACACACGTACATACAGTTGAAGTCAGAACGCTCTTAAATTTGGGATTTTTTTTTTTTTTTTAAATCAAACGAGGGGTAATAAATCTGATTAAACTGTATGAATAAATAAAAACTACAATACATTTAATTAAATTAAATAAACCATTAAATTTACTAAACTAGTGGTTTTTGGGTTTTCAAAAAAAGACCCTTTTGCATGCATCTGGAGTTGTTTAAAATACTAGGTGTTTGCACTACCTTGTTCTCAGCATAGGCCAACCACCGGCTTCCCAGTGCTATAGGGTTGAAGTTGGGCCCAGGACAGGGGTAGCAGCCTGCAAACACAAAGAAAACACACAAATATAACACAAGATAAACTAAATGACAGCACAAAGAAGACATAAATAATCCATCAGAGCACCATCTTGCCCAAAACTGTGTTTTATTAGAGCTTAGCGTTAGACTAATACCAGAGGTTAAACAAGGGTTATGGCATTTTGTGACAGTAGGACGGCTCCTCTGCTTATTAACTGCCAGACAGATTGACCCATGAGAGCAATACAGCCATAGAATCCCACATGCCATAATAATACAGACGTACATCACATTTGAACGCACACAAACAGGACAGACACG